GGGGAGGGATTGGGAATTTTGCAGTATCCTTCCCCTAGAGTGGGGAGAGAATGGGTATTTTGCAGTATCCTTCCCTTGGAGTGGGGAGGGATTGGGAATTTTGCAGTATCCTTCCCCTAGAGTGGGGAGAGAATGGGTATTTTGCAGTATCCTTCCCTTGGAGTGGGGAGGGATTGGGAATTTTGCAGTATCCTTCCCCTGGAGTGGGGAGGGAATGGGTATTTTGCAGTATCCTTCCTCTGGAGTGGGGAAGGAATGGGTATTTTGCAGTATCCTTCCTCTGGAGTGCCATGCGAATGGAGATTTTGCAGTATCTTTCTCCTGCCACTCCCACCAAGACACTCCCACCAAGCCATGCCACGCCCACCAAGCAACGCCCACAGAACCGGTAGTAAAAAAAAAATGAATCCCACCACTGGGCTAAACACATAGTTCCCGTAGCTGTTCATCGTATGATGTCTCCTATCTTCTTCTCTTCTCCAGGCAATGGAAGAGCTGAAGATGTCTGGATCCATTGCGTCCTACGACCAACTGGTGAAGCAGGTGGAGGCATTGAAGAAAGAGAATACACATCTTCGCCAGGAGTTGGAAGATAACTCCAACCATCTCTCCAAGCTAGAAAATGAAACTTCTGATATGAAGGTGGGAAACTGACTGATCTGGGTTTTCTTTTCTAGTTGTGAAAAGGTTGCTTTCCTAGGTTACGAGGAGTCCTTGACTAATGAACACAATTGAGTCCAAAATCTGATGTTACTGTCAAATATTTGTTAAGTGAGTTTTGCCCCATTTTATGACTTCCGGTGGGCGGGAGACATCCGGTGGGCGGGGCCTGAGAGGGGAGTTATTGTTTTTAACAGCACCTGAATCTTGGTTGCGTTAAACTGTCTAAACAGCAATCCATCAAGGTGTTTAGCAGTTTGTTTACCTCTCCTTCGGGCTTAGAAGGAGAAGGCGAGAAACTATGCTTGGGAAGCCCTCTAACTAATCCTCACAGTCTAAAAATCTGGGAGGAAGGGGGGGGGGGGCACCGGCAGCATAACACCTCCGCGCTAAGATTTATTGTGCCTTTAAAAAAAAATTAAATTACCGTATTTTTCGGAGTATAAGACACGCCTTTTTCACTCAAAAAAGAGGGTGAAAATCTGGGTGCATTTTATACACTGAATACATTATTTTTGGCCTCCTAAAACCCCGCCTCCTTTGCAAAAATGGCCATGCAGAGCCTTTAGAAGGTTTCCAGAGTACTTCTGGGGGCTGGGGAGGCCTAAAATGAACGAAAAACAGGCTGTCTTTTGCTCATTTTTGACCCCCCACCCCCACCCCAGGAGCACTCTGGAAGCCACCTAAAGGCTCTGCATGGCCATTTTTTGACAAAAAAACTGGCCTGTTTTCATGAAAAATGGGCTGTTTTTTGCTAGGTTCCTCCCCAGCCCCCAGGAGCACTCTATAAGCCTCCTGAAGGCTATGCATGCCCTTTTTGTTTGTCAAAAAGGGACTCATTTTCACGAAAAACGCACTGTTTTGGGGAGGTCTGCAGAGTGCAAAAACTTTTTTTTAATTTGCCTCTTCAAAATCTTGGTGCATTTTATACTCCAGTGCGTCTTATACTCCGGTGCTTCTTATACGCCAAAAAATATGGTACCTGTAATTTCAAATGTTCGGTAAATGAATGGTTGTAAGCTGACTATTAAATGTGACCCTCGTTACATTTTCTACTAACTTGATTTGCTCGTCTGTGAACCCTTTAGAGCTGGAACCCTGTGTTGAGTTGTTTCCTCTCCCTTCCTACTTAATTTTTAATCTGTATAACTAGCCTGAGCTGGTGGGACACGGGTATCAAACTTGCCATATTCACGTTGCCGTCACGTGAAGTTTCACGACATTTTCCCCATTCGCAGAGCTGGGGTAGAGGCGGCCTACATGTGATATATCTGGCCCAGAGGCCGCCAGTTTGAAACCCCACCCCCCACCCCTACGGTAGTAACACAGTTGTTAAGTGAATCTGGCTTTCTAAATCACTTTGCTTGTCAGAAGATTGCAAAAAATGATTGCATGACCCAGGGACACTGCAACCGTCATAAATATGATCCACTTGCCAAGGATCTGAATTTTGATAATGTGACTATGGGGATGCTGCAACGGTGGTTAAGTGTGGAAAATATTCATAAGTCATTTTTTTCATTGCCATTGTCACTTTGAATGGTCTAAAAACTCTAAACAAACTCTTGTAAGTTGAGGACTACATATTTGTTTTGGGTTATCTTAAGATCTGTCCCAATTTTGTTAATCATCCTTTCCAAAAGTAACACTTTACAACTTTCAGTATCTGTCTATGGAGATTCTCAGTCATCCAGGTCACAGTTGTCCCAAAGGTGCTTTTTCAAGAGGCAATTGGACTTCCTTGTTTTTAGTTTATTTGTCTAGTTTAGTTTATTTGTCTTGCATGCCGCCCACTCCCGAAGGACTCTGGGCGGCTCACAATAAACAAGGGAAGGGGGATAAATAGACAAAAACAACACTTTAAAATACGCAACTTTCACAGTTTCCGTGGGGCTGGATATTTCACAAGCCCCCTGACCTGCTGGAGCAGCCAGGACTTGGTGGAAGGCCAGGAGGGTAGTAAGGGTCCGGATCTCCACGGGGAGGTCATTCCAGAGGGCTGGAGCTGCGACAGGGAAGGCTCTCCCCGGGGGAGTCGCCAGCCGACATTGGCTGGCAGATGGAA